TAATAAGCTTTATTTGTATAGCGTCTATATCAATAATTGTTCTAGGCGCTTTACAATCGATGATAATAATCCATATTATAATATATAATATATATAATGTAATCTATTATTATTATACATCTTTATCGTAAATGTTCAAGTCCTCGACCGTTTTATAACACGGGGTTGATATCATGATCAATATTTGTACTATCCTCTATTTATTCTTTATGGGACGCCCGATGTGTACATGGCGGTAACGCACTTTCTTAAAAGCAGTCAAATGAAACGAAGCAAAAGCAATCAAAGTAATAAAGGGAGTATCGGTTTTATTTTTAAAGATCCATGAAGAATATCAATTAATAAAAACGCCACGAAATGTTTGCCCRGTAARCGAAGAGGTTTTATTTCGTTAAACTCAAAAATGATACGATCCTATGATATTTAATTTATGTGTGTTTACCTCACCAGTTGCTCAGACCGCTTACTCTCATGAAACAGGATGTATCTTGTGAACGTCAACTTTGAAACAAAAGAATTTGACAATTTTTGATCTAAATTTGATTCATTCAATGTTTTCCGCCGCCCAATATGACGTACGTTTATAACTCGCACGAGAGACCGCAACAAGAGCAACAAGAAGGAGAGGGATTATTGAGCGATGTAGCTGGGAATTCATTGTTTTTTACGGTAAAGGCAGATATGGCAAAGCATTTACTTTTCACTCCAAATCACTGTAATGAAACAAAAACGTCCAGTAGTTTGTAATTACTTCCTTTATAATCTAATTGCTTGCTCTCTAATCTACCCGGCGCCACAATAACCTGTTCCTTTGCAAGGCGGCAGAGCCTCTATGAAAGCTCTGCTAAGAGAAAAAAAACCCCCGAAGAATGCAGCTTGCGGGAGATGCCTTGACATTTCAATAAACGAACTATAAATATCAATTATTCAGCTTCACGGAATACCCATGATCAGTAATAACGGCACCACAATTTAACTCTCTTGGGAATGCTTGCAACCATCAACATGCAAGGTAACGTTAGTAGGCGCCCCTATATGCAAGGTAACGTAAGTAGGCGCCCCTATATGCAAGGTAACGTTAGTAGGCGCCCCTATATGCAAGGTAACGTAAGTAGGCGCCCCTATATGCAAGGTAACGTAAGTAGGCGCCCCTATATGCAAGGTAACATAAGTAGGCGCCCCTATATGCAAGGTAACGTAAGTAGGCGCCCCTATATGCAAGGTAACCTAAGTAGGCGCCCCTATATGCAAGGTAACCTAAGTAGGCGCCCCTATATGCAAGGTAACCTAAGTAGGCGCCCCTATATGCAAGGTAACGTAAGTAGGCGCCCCTATATGCAAGGTAACGTAAGTAGGCGCCCCTAGATTACAACAATGAATCAATTTCTCTCGAAACTTTCACATTGATACCACTTAATCCTGTAGATCACTACGGTGTTTGTTTCATAGCAGTAAAGTTAATTTTTCGAATTTGGTTTTCAACATTTCTCTGATATATTTACGTGACTGGTTTATGAAGTTTATGTCTGTAATGGCGCTTTCAGCTTATATTTGATAAAAGAGATCCTTGTAAATGAATCATGTAATACAACCAGCACTAGGAGTCAATAGATGTTTATAAACCCCTGCATGAATACGTGATTGTTGCAAGATTTAACATGCTTTTAATTCAGGCAGTGATCGCTAAACACTCTCGCTAAAACCTGTCTCAAAACACGGATAGACTCTTGTAAATCGCACATGTTTTAGTTTGATTTTTTCAATCTTTTACATTCACACGACCTTATTCGATATATTCTATGTTTTAGCTTGCATCAGTATACAATTCATATCATATATCATTCAACCGATAGCCTTTTATGGAAAGTGCCCCTATATGCAAGGCGCCCCTATATGCAAGGCGCCCCTATATGCAAGGCGCCCCTATATGCAAGGCGCCCCTATATGCAAGGTAACGTTACCAACACTGCTGCAACGTGCTATGGGTCATGACCTACGGACCAATATATAGAAATCTAGGCGTAAATCGACTTTTGATGGTTTCAAGATTTTCTCTCTCGAGAAAAAGAGTATGCAAAAGATTGATAGATATTTTCTCAAACAAATTATAAACAAATTATAATCCCCCCTCCCCCCTCCCCCCTCCC